GCCCCCCTTTGGCCAATTGATGTAATATTGCTTCATTGGCATCCTCCCATGACCCTCTACCACTGTGCCAAATTTCACATGGATTGACCAAGTCAGTGAGGAGAAAAACATGGAACACACACACACACACAGAGTTTTCATCATTACATAGTAAGACACCGTAACCAAACACTGGACAAACCAGATAAGGTCACTCAGTGATGTTTACAAGCAGTATGTTTCAGGGAGTGGTTGTGTTTCTGTGTAACTCTTGTTTTTGAATTTGCCTACGTTTGAATAAATGCAACAGAGTTGTCAGTTCCCAGCAATGTGAGTGTTTTTCCTACATATCAGGCTGGCTACATTTGTGGGCTCTATTTATGTGGCAGCACTGCGACTAGTGCTCTGACAATCCGCACGACCGTGAAGATACATGAGGCTATGTGTGATGTAAAGTTCATATGACTGCACATGCGTAAGATATAAAATGGATTGCTTTGAATAAAACTTGTGTGCATGTGTAGGACTGTAAGTGCACAACTGCATCTACACACATTTTTGGCTTTTTTTTATTTTTATTAATCTTAGATCCAGTTATAGGCAGGGATTTGATTGGCTATTGGTGCTAAAGATGATGTTTTTTAAAATCTGCTGCTAAAACTGACACATTATGAGGGGGAAAGGTAAAAACAGAATAAAAAATAGAGTCAATTTGAGACAATTTCATGATTTTCATGAAGGCCTGAAATTTGTAAAATAGATTATAGGACTTGTTAAAGAGCTGTAGACAGTCCACAGAAGAACACACGTTGACACACTGCTGCTGTAAAACTTTTTGACTGTGGTTGCTGTTGGGAATAGAATGTTATGTGTTTTACTATAAGTTGTGTTTCACTATATAAGTTTTAGATGTGTGAACAATGAGAATACTGAGATGATTTCAGCTGATCTGAATGTGTTTGCTTTGCAGAAGTGGAGAAGTACAGGAGAGGAAGAGACATGAAGTCTGAGGAGCACATACCGCAATGCTTAGATAATTAGTTTCATATATGGTAAAAAGAATAGAAAGTGATATACAGATAGTAAGGTACAGCACGTGTAGGGAGTTGTGTTGTTCTCTTGTCTTTCAAAACAGGAACCACGCCCCCACCGCCAGCGGGAAGGAGTCAGATTAACAGGAGGCAGGGGCGTGGTGTGGTGAAGGAGGAAGTGGAACTGCCAATGAGAAGAGGACAACGCCTTGCGTGCACAATGACACTCTGTTACGCTCAAATATACTGGGTCAGGGGAAGGACAGGAGGTCAGACTTCGTGAACTGACACACCTTTGTTGTTTTTCAGGGACGTGAAGTTGAGACCCAGAGCTCTGTAATTTTATTCCTTTACTGCTTAATAAACTACATTAACTGAGACCGAATATCTTCTCCTATTGCTTCATTAAAGAACACGCAGGACTGAGCTCACACATAGCACATTGGAGAGTAGGATGAGACTCTTAGTCCATCATTGCCCAAGTTGGGCGGTGACTTAAGACATGAAGCAAGTGTGCGTGCACAAACACACATCAAATATCAAATATAGGTCAAATATCCTTTATTTACCATTTCTGTCTCCGCTACTCATATTTACTTAAATACATTACAGTATCTTGCAGTTTCTTACATTGCTGAATCAGAGACATCTTTTAAATCGCTTCCTAAAACGTATCTGTTCAAAAAAGCCTTTTATTAGTTTTAGCAAACTGCTTATTTTATATACTTCTCATTGTATTATTTTTATTGTTTTTATCTCGTGTTCTCAACAGTTTTGTATTCTTTTATTTTGTATTACTTTAACTGTTTGATTTGCTGTACCACATTGCAATCTACAGGGCAATTAGTTGCCAACTTTGCTTATCTGCTTCAGTGACGGTATTTTATCTTTATTTTTTGTTCTGTGTATTTTTCTTAAAATTGCCTCATTTTATTTGCTTGAATTCTGTATTGTTTTAAATCTGGGGTCAACCGTGTAAAGCACTTTGTAACTTAAAATGTATTATTTATTATTGATATTTCTGGTTTTAAAATTCAAACTTTCAAACATACATTGACCAATAACAACACAACAGAGTGGCACCACACAAAGATAATATGAAGCTTTCATCCTTTATTCTTTAAGTCCTCAAAAAGAGCTCGTATCTCCAAAAGTCAGCTACATAAAAAAAAACAAATGCAAATAAAAAAAAGCAAAATATCAAGTACTAAAAAAATGACAATAATAATGAAGGAAAATGCCTGTATGAACAAAATATTGACAAAATTGTGCCAAACTTAAAATTTCCATACAAAAATACAAACTGAGGTCTGTGACCTCTGACCAGGCAGCAGATAGCACATCATAGTTTATGATAATGGGGGGGCACGGGAATGGTCAAACAGATTTTACATGTGGCTACTTGAGCATTAAGAGCTGAAAAACCTTTGTACAACAAAATCCCGTCCCTTTAGAAAACCTGCTATCCACAACAATCAGCCACACTATTTGAAAATGATTTGTTCAAAAATGTTTATAATGACATATATGTTTAATAAGGTTAATATAAAGTCTAACATGGTTCTCAACAGATTACGTCTTTAAAAAGTTGTTGCTCCAAAAGCAGGCTACATACAAAGGAAAACAATGCATATTAGAAATACAGTCACAGTATGGAATATCTAAAACAAAAAAAACCTGTGTGGACAAAATATTGTATTGTGAAAATGGTGTAAACTTCAAATCTACATTTAATACAACAACAAATACAAAGTAGGACCAGGCACACAGCCAATCATAGTTTACATACACATTTACAGCAAATTATGTTGTTTCATTCAATCACATTTTCACACAAGAACAGGAGATAATGATCCCATTGTTTCATTTTTTTACCCTTATCTGTTCAATAACAATGAACAATTTGTAATAACAGAAAAATACAGAATTATTGAGAGATAGATCAGTGTCTCTCAGCTGGGATTTGGGTAAATCTGCAACAAACAAAAAAGTAAACAAAAAGTGGATAAAATGGTTAAAAAATAAAATGACACAAAAAGAATCTAAAAACATATTCATATATGCATCTAGAGCTGCAGGCTAGATATTTAAGTCTGCGATCTGTCTTCTACATTAATGGCTCTCAACTGGAATGTTGGAGCTCTGGGGATCCTTGATCTCTTTGTCTTCAAACAAACAAAAAAGAGCAATAGGTTCACTGTTAACCACTGTATTACATTAATTGTGCTTGGAGATAAATCAGTAGGAGACAGTTCGATGAATTTGCAGCAAAGCAACAAAAATAGATTTAAAAAAAATGTAAATGACATTAAAAGATCTAAAAACATAAATACAGCTAGAGCTGCAGGATTGGAATTTAACCCTGCAGTCTGTCTTGCATATCATTTGTCTGTGCTTTTATGAGGTGTATTTAAAATTCCCTCACAATGAGTCACTAGATGCCACACCTGTTTTTCCTTTCTGTCCAATTCATGGGTCAGCACTTATGTTGCATTTGTTTGTCCTACAAAATAACAATGCTCAACTACAGTATTATAATATTTGCACTTACAGATAAATGAATAGGTGAATATGCTATGCTATATGCTACACCTGCAGGAGATAACAAAAAATCCTTAGAAAAATGATTACAAATGTTTTTAAAAGAATAAATAAGATAAAAGGAATATAAAAACATATATACATATATAGCTTGAGCCGCAGGATTAATTTAACCCCACAATCTGTTTTACATATAATTTGCTTGTGTGTTTTTATGAGGTGTGTTTGAAATTCCATTACAGTGAGTCACTAGATGCCACACCACTTTTTTCCACTGTACAGCTCGTTTCTCAATGCTTGTTTCACATGTCTGTAAAAATCACCTACCCATGGTTTCATACTGGATGTCATAAGCAAGGGGTCCATCCATAGTAAAAGCAAGGTAGAAAGAAACCTTGTCTGTGCTGAAACCACTTCTTATACCAGCAGTGAGAGCTGGACAAACAGGGATTTTCAGTTTTCCATCCAGTTTGGGTTTAGAAACAAGCCTCAAGTCTCTCCTCTTTCCTCAAGAAGAAGTGGGCAACAGTGCTCCTTTTTCGAGTTTTGAAATGCTCTTAACGTCTTCGACAGGTTTGTCCAAATGCAGAAGAATCCTTGTGAATGTATCTGCATGTTTCTCTTCAAGAAATAATCTTCTTTCTTCAATATCCATTTTCAGATTGAAAATTTGACTTGTGTCCTCTGGTGTGTTGCAAAAACGAGCTGCATACTGTTTAAAATGACCACAGACAGTCAGTTCCTTCAGTTTTCAAACTGCGGAGAACCTGCTTGTGTTCTTTGATTATCTCCGCATATCTGTTATTGATCCCATTGTCCTCATACACACTGGTGATTGTTTTGTTTTTTCTCAGTGCTTGTGTTGCATGTGTTTGTACAGTCAACTACCCTAGTTTTCATACTGGATGTCATAAGCAAGGGGTCCATTAACAGCAAAACCAAGGTAGAAAGAAACCTTTTCTGTGCTGAAACCACTTCTTATACCAGCAATAAGAGCTGGACGAACAGGGATCTTCAGTTTTCCATAATTGGCAAACACCTCTCCTTGCTCAATGGTTCCACTGACTCGTTGAAGGCGGTCAATTATTGCTTTTTCTTTAAATATATCTCCGTTCCGCCAGTGTTGTGCCAAGATATCACGGCGCATCTCTTTAAAGTTCTCATCCAGTTGGGGTTTAGAAACAAGCCTCTTGAGTCCCTCTTCTTTCCCCAAAAAGAAGTGGGCAACAGTGCTCCTGTTTCGAAACCATGAAGTCAGGCGCTTGTGATATGAGTTTCGAATTGCTCTCACATATACGCAGATATCAGTGTTTTCCTGAGTAGGACTTGGCCAGAATAAGAGCAAAGCCAGGTAGTATGGGTCGGGGAAGTGATACCCAAGTCCTACATCTTGCAGAGATTTCGAAAGTAGAGCAGAGAGGTGGTTACTACTCTTGACATGTTTAGATCTTGGTTTCAGAATGTAAAGAACTATGTTTGACAAAATGTAATTGATTGTTTCCTTTGTCTTTTGTTTTTTGTTGATAAAGTTTTTTTGTAAGAATGCATAACATTCTGTGATGCTCTCAATCTCTTCAGCAGGTTTGTACAAATGCTGAATAATTCCTGCAAATGTATCTGCATTTTTCTCTTCAAGGAACATTTTTCGTTCTTCAATATCGATTTTCAAATCAAGATTAGGATTGTTTTGTCGTTCTTTTTTTTTTTCCTCTGGTGCAGTGCAAAAAAGATTTACATAGTCTTTAAAATGACTACAGACGGTCTGATGATTCTTTGAATCAAAATCTGAATTGTTCCCTTTTATATATGTGAAGTAACAGTCCAAAAGTTCAAACATTTCCTTTACTTCAGTTTTCAAACTGAGGAGAAACTGCTTGTGTTCTTTGATGATCTCCACATATCTATTGTTGATCTCATTGTCCTCCTTATACACGCTGGTGATTGGGATTGTTTTTTCCAGAAAACTCTGCAAGTACTTCTTCTTCATTGGATCACTTTGCTCAAAGAATGGCAATCTGCTCAAAATCTCAAGGACAAGGAAGGCAATTTCCAGCACACCCACATAGCCAAAAACATTATATGACTTTCTGGGATAGTCATCTGACTCATCATCAGCAGCCTCCATCTCAGGTTCATGCTCTGCATTTGCCAGCTCTTGAGCTCTTCTAAATGCTGTGATGGCATTTTCTGCTATTTTAATGTTTGTGTTTAGGTCTTCTGGATTGCATGATGTCTCCTGCTTTTCTTTGTGGTTGTTAGATTTTAAATTGCTTTTGTGAATCTGCCCAATTGTGTCAAATGTGTATGGGTTTTCCTTAATGTTCTTGGCCTTTTCTGCCCATTTCAGAGCCTCTGGGAAGTCACGCTCATTGATGCACAAATATCTTGCCAGTGCCTGTGGAATAGATGCACTTGTCACAAACCTGGATGATGCTTTCACAAAGATTTCTTGGACAGTTTGTCTCCCTTGCTGGTTGTGGATTTTGCCTATGAGAGGAGAAAATGGCTCTCTCTCATCTCTCTCGCCTTTTTTGCGGTGCCTTTCAATCAACATTCGTTGAATTGATAGCATGAATCTGTGTTTGACAACTCCAACACTGAAGAACAGATCACAGTGAAGAATCTCTACAGTGATATCGCTTACTTTCAAATAGCAGCTTCTCTCAAACTCATCAAGACATGCAGATGCTATGGAGTGATGAAGGATTCGGATTCCTTTGTATCCTCCCCATTCTTCAACTGTGTCTATGATGAGAAAGTTTGAATATGGCTTCATTCTGTCCAGTATACTGTCCTCTTGCCAGCGAATCATTTTCATCCCCAAAAAATCTTCACAAAGAGAGAGAGAAATTTCAGATCCTGCCACGTAGGTGTTCAGTAATGCCAGGAAGGCAAACAGTCGGGCCTCCTTTTTGCTGAAATCAAAGTTCACCAGTGTGTTACGAGCAAGATCATTGATGTATTTTTCTTCAAAATTGCGCTTCATGATCATGAAGCTGTAAAAGTTTTTAGGGTTTTCATGGGTTTCTTCAAGCTCTTTGAGTTTCTTTTCAAAGTCCTTCTGTTCTTCTTGTGTCAATGAAGCAGTTATGTATTGAGCTTGTGATGGATTGTGCTGTTTGTACTGGTCCTTTGGGCTATGGGAACGAACACAGTTAAGGATGATCACTTTGCAGTTTGGTGCATCATCCATATTTAAGCTGTCCTCTAATGCAGCTTTATGTATGCAGTTCACAAGATCATGAGGATTCCCAGTTTCCTTTGAGTCATCGATTAACAGCAAAACTGGAGATGGTCTCTCACTTTCAAGTCTCATGAGCCTTTGAACTTGAATGGCAACTTCTGTCTTTGGTAGTGTGTTGTCTTTCAGCACAGCGCATCTGAACTCATGACGGAGATCCCACATCACGTGCATTGCTAAGGTGGTGCCACCACAGCCTGGATCGTGAAACAGATTGAGCAGAGCACACATGTTTTTTGAGTCTCTCAACTGAGACCTGATCATCTTCTTCACATTTTCATACTTGTCCCGCTTGACAAATGGCTTGTCTTTGTCTTTGTCACAGAAGTAGAAGTTCCACCATTTGACTTTGCCTCCTCTGTAGAACTCCTCCTCAACTTTGATCCTGAAGTCATGAAACTCTTGACTGTTTTCATCATAAATGTTTTCACACTGATTCAGGCACAAAATGTCCAGAGCAGGCATAAAATCTTCGTCCTTCTGTTTCAGGACAACAGCACTGGAACCAGAGGAGGGAAGCAGCCTTCCAGTGGACTGATTGAATGGTCCCAGTGCCATTATGGTTCCATTGACTTCGCTAAGGGTCAGAGCGTATATGGATCGTGGGTCAATGTCAGACTCACACTTTTCTTGTATCAGTTCCCTCCATTTCTCATATGAGTGCTGAGATTCACAAATTGTGATGATGCCTTCCTCTTCAGTGTATTTTATGAAAGACTTGTAGGTGTCAAAGATTGGGTCTTTCTCAGTATCCACAGGTGAAAGCAGGAGGAATATGATGAGACTTCTTCCATGAAGAAGAACTTCAGGGTTGCAAATGAATGAAACCAATTGGTCTACAACTCCACAGGATTTCCTCAGCCAGTTCCTATAGTCTAACTCCTTGTTTGAGTCACTGTCAAGATCATGTCTGCCATTGCAGAAAACCCAGCTAGTCTGTTTGCAGAGGTTCAGGTTCTTGATTACTGACTCAGTCTGTCCTTGATATTGTGATGGAGTGTGAAGATTGGCCACCCTTGACTCTCTGTAGGAATGACACAGTCCACCTGGAGCAATGGAGTTGGGGTCAAAGTCCAGCACACAGAACAGTTTTAGCTTATTCAAGAACTGTAGATACTGCACTTGTTCTGGACTGCTCTTGTTTACTACAACAACAAATCTGTTATAATTATCCAGTGTGTTCCCACCACAAGTTAATAAATTCTTTAGTTTGTCACCCTGGTTAGCTTCTTTCTTCAAAACATATTCTGTAAGACTCTGCTGCTCCAGTTGGCCTGTATGAACAGTAAAATAAAGGCATTATTAAGTTTAAAAACACACAGGAAAGTGAACTCTGGTGATCACCGCCAGGTGGCCACTCCAGCTTACTGCAGCCACTCTATTGCGCCTCGTCTATTTTTGACAGAGCCGCGACACATTGCACAATGCAGATTGAGTTGTCCAGCTATCAGGTATGTATTACATGTAATTGTGAGGCCAAAATGTATCCAGAAACAAAGAGTAAGGCTTGTTGTTAGCTGAGACAGTTTCTGGAAAACTTGCAGTGTGAGGAATCAGAAGTCAATAACAGTATAAAACAGTCATTAAAACAGGTGATGGAGGCGCCCAGTAGCTCAATAGGTAGAGCAGGCATCCCATGTACAAAAGGCAGTGTCCTTGCAGTAGCGGCTGTGGGTTTGATTCCAGCCTGCAGCATTTGCTGTGTGTCACCCCCTCTCCCTCTGACCCTTTCACACTTAATACTGTCCTATCAATTAAAGGCAAAAAGCCCCCCCCCCCAAAAGAAAAAAATCTTAAAAAATAAATAAAACAGGTGACGAGATTGTAACACAAATAATCAGCAAAACACAAACTACAAATAAACAAACAATTTGTTTCATGCAACTTCACAATTTGAATAGTATTATAATGGTTGTCTTACCCATGTTCTTTTCCAGGTCACAAATGAGTTGAAGCTGATTGATTTCTTTTAGAACATCTTTTGTGACTCGTAAAGCATCTTTGCTTCCGAAGTGCCCAACTATTAATGTAGCTGTGTCCATGGTATCAATCTTTTTCACTTTACACAGAGGAATAGGTGTATTCTTGGAGTTTGAGTATTCTCGTAAGTTGAAATGGAATTCTTTCAGGCCATGTTTTGAAAGGTTGGCTAGGGTCTTCTGAATCTCCAGTTTAATCTTGGATGCGTCTTGTAGGACTGTAGTCTGCAGGAAGAAACAGAAGTAAACTTTACTAATCACAGTCTATATTAAGTAAAAATCCTGAAAGCTTTTTGGTGCATATCAAAATGCTCCATTAACAAGCTGGATGCAATAATGTATACTATGAAAAATAGAACAACATTGGAAATTTTACTTTAGAAACCTCTTTTCTCCTGGCCCCCAAGTCTCGTGGCCTTGGCTGCTGAATTTCCTCCTTCTCTGAAGCTTTCTTGGATGGTCGCTGAGTCTTTTCTTGTTCATTTTCCACCATATTGTCTGTTTTTGATTCAATATTGTCACATGATTCTGGTTGTTCGGATGCCGTGGCCTGCGCCAGACTCAGCTTAGGCTGAGTGGGATTTGAAGCTTCTGTTTGGTCTGTGCTGGTGTGAAGGATGGGTTGCAGTGTCGGCTCTGGTTTGTTTTTCAGCTGACGGAGTTCTGCCAGAATTCTTACAGCAGGACCGCTTTTCACTTCCAGGTCCAGTAAATCCTGCTTCGTGAAGCAAACAAGGCAATCTCCAGACACATCTTCCTCTTGGAATCGTACTGCATATTTGTTGTATATCCTAACATGCTGCAGTAACCACTGGGCCACTTGCTCCTTTGTCCAGTTTTCCACATATGCTGGGAACTGCGACTCATGTTGTGATCCTTTTTTCAGATTTCTTAGATAGGATGTGATTTTTACAGCAGGACCGTGTTTTATTCCCAAGTCCAATATGTCTGTCTTTTCAAAAACATCTAAACTTGATCCTGACACTTCATCTTTAAAGAATCTGTCTGCATCTTTCTGATGGACTTTGACCTCTGTGATCAGCCAGTGGTGGACATCTTCCTCAGTCCAGTTTTCAATGGACCAAGGAGGCTTTGCCGTTGTCATTTTGGATCAACTAAAAATAAAACAGTTAAAAAAGGCGTTAAAATAATGAAAGGAACAGTAAGAAAAAATATTGCCTTCACAAAAGAAGATGTTAGGTAGGGATGTCAATGGTTAACCATTAATTGGTTAACCGCTGAAAATATTTTTTGACCAGTTACACGTGTTGGTCCACAGGTTAATTTTACTACTCTTCAGTCTACTACACTGCACAGCTGGCTGCGGTGGGTGCTAGCTAGCGTAAGCGCTGTTGCTCAATCTGCCATTATTGCTAGTAACGCTATTTGTGTAAACCTGTAGACTGTATATGAAGATGGATGACATGACAGCTCCCCAGAAGTGAAGCTGAAACATCTTGATCACTCCATGGTGACTGGCTGCAGTATAAGTTATAAAGCCCGCCCCCTCCATGTTAGTGTATGGGACATGGTCCAAACTTAAAACTCAAAGTACATGTCAAATTAATTTTTCCCAAAGATGATTTCTGTCATTTAAAATAGTTTTTATCAAGCTGCTGTTTCAAGTGTTTATTTTTCTGATAGGTTTGGTTTCAATTAGTTATTTAATGCTATAAAACAGAAATATTATAATATGATTGACGACTGTATGAGCCAGTGGGTGGGCTCGCATTCAGTGATGCTGCTCATGGTTGGTCGGAGTGGCGTATGGGTGGGAAATTTGAGACTGCAGGGATCACTGCTGAACAGACTCTGGCTCCAAATGACATCACAGAGCAAGATGGCAGCGACTATATCCGGGATACTTTAGCTTCACTTCTGTACCGTGGGGGTTAGTAAAGACGTGTCGTCTATTTTTATATACAGTCTATGGTGGAAACATTGTGCCCACCCTCCAGTCACCCAACAACTTGCCCTGGTGAGTAAGTGGCTCAATTTTGAGTCGTAAAACCCCTTTAGCATTGTTAACTGTGTTGTTAGCTGTGTCAGCACAACTAGTGGTGCTAACAAAGTAAATAAAGCTAAAATGGTTTTGTGGTGCAAAATGGAACCACTTACTCACCTGGGGCCTCATTTATAAAGCTTGCTTATGCACAAAACAGGGCTTGAAAGTGGCGTACGCCACTTACCACGCAAAGGTTGTGATTTATAAAAATAAACTTGGCGGGAGAATGTGTGCACCTGTAAGCAAACTCTGAGTCATGTGTGCGCACATTTTGAAGACACTGGGAAGTGGTGACGCAGACGGTGAGGTGGAGAAGTGGAGTCAGATTTTTATTGATGTCTCACACAAATTTAATTTCACGCTATATCCACCTTAGATCCACGTTATCATTGAAATTAAATCCAGCAGCCTTGTTTTGCGCTTGGAGTGAGTGATGATTGTTTCATAAAAACGTTGTAAAATCCAACTCAAATCCTGAATTGAAATTCTTTCTAAATACGTATTTAATCTGCACTGCCTCTCACGTCTCATTGTCCGCTCTGTGAGCGCAGGAGGGGGAGAGGACAGCACGACTGCATGGAATATATTTATTTATTTAGCTAAATATTTCCAGTGCATTTATCATGTCTCGAAATACAGCCATTAAGCACAACCGTTACACTCATTTCATCAGCCCTACTTAGACATGTGCTGTTCATGACAAAACCAGCATGAAGAAACGTGTTCGCCTATTACACTTTCATCTTTGAATTGTATTTCAAATTACACGTTGTATTTTGGGACAGGGATACCACTGGTTCATGCTGTAATTCAGGCCGGGAGTCTGATCAGACTGATTGCCATAAACATATAAATACTGCGGTGAGCCTCGTGCGTAATTGCACAAGATGGCACTGGCACATACTCCTTTTTGCCTCCACCTTTAATAAATGTGATTCTTTATGTCGCACATCAATGTCAAACATCCTCAAATTTAAAAGCAACACATTAACTACATGTTGGTAAAGGAGTAGAAATATTTGGTCTACCTTTAGATCAGACCACTTTTTTTTTTGTTCTGTCACTGTCAGTGCAGTCCCACAGACACAGCTGACAGCATCAGCAGCGTTGATGTGTTGCCACTGTTTTTGCTTTATTAGTGATCCCGCTGCTGTGGCCACCAAATAAAATCTTTCTTCAGTCCTCCACCTCCCGTTAAAGGGTCTCGAGCTCAGTCTTGGAGAAATTCCGTTATTTGGTTTGTTTCTCACACCTGTCGCCATGACTCAGAACGAGAGAACACTCGCATGCCGACTTATTTACATGCAGATCGCATTCATGAGGTGATTTGCATGACCATTTATGGTTGAACTAGGGCATGTAGAGGGCGGAATATGAGGCGGATCTGGGTGCGCACAACTCCAGGAGGTCTGTGATTTATAAAGAGAACATTGTGTGCAAGTGTGCGTGCACATGGTTTTATAAATCAGATTATTTTTTGGCACATGCCGTTTTCAGCTTTTGGGCGCATGTCAACTTTTAGTATGAATCCTAAGCACTCTTTTATAAATGAGGCCCCAGGGCAACCTAGGGTGAGACCAAATGGTGGGCACAGTGTTTCCACAGCGACAAGGTCTGCCACTGAGATGGAGTTAACTGTTGTTATCACCATATGGGCAGCTAGCTAGCTAATGTTAGCTCCCCTCTGACCCAGGGTGACAGTGCATAATGGCAGGGTTGCCAACTCTCCCACATCTGGCATGACTGTAACTCTTTCACCATCAGTGTCACACTCTCACGCCCATTTAAGAAATCTCACTCCACCGTTGCCGAGTCCTTTTGTTTTTTTTGTTTTTTTCGTCCAGCACATTGTGTGGCTTGACCGGACCGCATATAGAAAGCAAATTTAGGTCTCGTGGGGCTACCCTGAACTTCATGCTACTTCGTCCTTCCCCTAGTCTCCTACAAATTTTCTCATTGTTTTTTCTATAGACAGCATTCCATGACCTAAGACAACAGAGCTATGGATTGAATAACGCTGCAGTATCGCTTTAAGTTCACTCATTGCCTTCTTCAGCCATCTAGTGGACAAACATGGGAACAGCATATAATTTTACATGAATTGGTTAATGCTAGTTATAGCATGGCCTTATTATGTAGAATTGCACACAATGCATACACTGGGTTGTTTGAAATGAAAACTCCAGGTAATTAACTGCTCATGTTTCTCCCGGGGCACACAGATGCTAAACATTTACCATGTTTTATGACCGAGTCTCGAAAGGCCACATAAAACATGATAAATCAACAGGGTTCCCACGAGTCCCTGAAATCCTTGAAAGTTTGTGAATTTAAAAAAATCATCTCAAGGCCCTGGAAAGTTTTTGAAAATATGCATAAATGTACAAAGGTCATTGAAAGTCCTTGAATTTATCTATTTCTGTATGAAATGCATGAAAATAGGATTTCACCGTGTGAACTTTTAAAATGTTCTCGGGGAAGAACCACGCCACATGTGCATATTAACTCTTTTAAGGAAAAAAGAACAAAAAAAAAACATGTGCCGCCGTGTCCACGTATGTTCATGACCACGTACACACAAGCAGATATTACGTGACCAGTCAAAATCTCACTCCGGCCCTCTGACCACAGGCAACCCTGTGTGAAGAGACTGGAGGGTGGGCAGTGGGCATGTTTCCACATGTTAACGGGACTGCCTGTCAGCAAAGCCAACAGAAACTAAAATAAAAGGCAAAACATTGAATTTTCACCTCCTCTTATTGGACAGCACTTTGAAATAAAGTGCTAAAGCTCACTGACTCAATTAACACTGTAGTAAATGGAAAGGCCTCTTGTATTTCACATTCCTTTCAGGAGAGGTGAAACTTAACAAAATGCACTTGCACTATGCATATGACTTCAATCTTGACATTAATGTTCTCTGGAGTAAAAAAAATACCACCCAACATTATGATGCATGCGTCATAATGAAATGCACGTTATATTCTTTATTCTGCTGATAGTTGATGTTCATGCTTTAAAATAATATAATTTTGGTACACATTTGGATAGTTCACCTACAGATAGTTCACAGAGTATTTGTGACATTTCATTGTGGATGTTTTGGGGCGGCACGGTGGTGTGGTGGTTATCACTGTCGCCTCACAGCAAGAGGGTTGCCGGTTCGATCCCGGGTGTGGGAGCCCTTCTGTGCAGAGTTTGCATGTTCTCCCCATGTCAGCGTGGGTTCTCTCCGGGCACTCCGGCTTCCTCCCACAGTCCAAAGACATGCAGATTGGGGACTAGGTTAATTGATAACTCTAAATTGTCCGTAGGTGTGAATGTGAGCGTGAATGGTTGTCTGTCTCTATGTGTCAGCCCTGTGATAGTCTGGTGACCTGTCCAGGGTGAACCCTGCCTCTCACCCAGTGTCAGCTGGGATAGGCTCCAGCGCCCCCGCGACCCTCAAGAGGATAAGCGGTTAGAAGATGAATGAATGAATGCACTCACTATAGAGTATAATTTAAGAAACTCACTACGTACATTGAAATAATTTGATGTACGTTTGAAACATTCACTCAGTCTATGCTGCATAGGTTGAGTGAATAGTTTAAAGTATACTGAGAATAAGAATGTATATTTATCAAGTATCGCATATACTCTAAAGATAATCTGTTAAACTTTCAATGTTTAAAACTTGGAAATAAAGATAACACTGTAACACCTAACAGCATTTTCAGGGTTCTAGTTTCCCGGCGTGGTGCAGGGTGGTGCTGGGTGGCGAACCCCGCGCAGAGCTAGTTTCGAGCAGCGCAACCTGAGTCGCGCTCAGTTTGGTAGTTTGGCAGACCGAGGTGCGCTGAGATGGGTGTGGTGGCTCAGCAGGGGTAGGTGTCTACAGATCCAGCTTGGCGCAGTGACAGTTTCGTGCCAAAAGGCTTCGCCGAAGGTGCGCTAAAAGCTCGCCAGCTGAAACCAGGTCTACTGTCAGCACCAAAAACCACTATTCAATGCAACTATCTGCAATCAGCACATAAATGTATCTCTATATCGACTGTCCCGTCACATCTGATGTCAGATCAAAGGGGATTGGCACCGTTTGGCACGTTTGGCACGCGTAATGGAAACCCAACCTGATTTGATTAACACAGCTGCAAACTAATGAGTTCACATCCCTCTCAGCCAACCACAAACAGCCACAGCATCAGATAGGGAGTATATATTCAGCATCTGTCATCTTAGAAAAGTCAAAAGAAAAGAAACAGAGTGAGACTGCGAGAGAGAAAGAGAGAGCACATTGATTTACAATTGTGGTGACCTCCTCCCAGGCTACCTTTGCATCATCAGCCCGTGGAGGTCTGCTCGCAGTTCCGTATATTCGGACACTGTGAGCTTGGACCACCTGGACCAAAACATCAGTTTCCTCCTGGGAGAAGTTTGGCCGTCTGACACTGCTGCTCTCTTCTGCCATGGCAAATAGAGTAAACTCTCATTACACCTTCGTGCGGCGCATTTAAGGGCGAGGAGAGGGGCTCATTTGATTGGTGTGATGTGTGTAAAACCCACTCCACGCCTTCTCTCCTCCCTCTTTCCAACTTGCGCCGGTAGGAGGGACGGAGGTGGGAAAGAGGAGTAGCTGCGCCAGCGCGCACGGTGTGCCAAACTTGCAAAATCCGCCTGGCCACACTCAGTTGGTGAAGCGCAGGTGCGCTGCGCCCCCGCCTCGCCCGGTCTGCGAAACTAGTGGCCCCAGTGTCTGTTAAAGATTCCAGACTAAACTCTAGTAATATTTTCAGTGGAGTAGTGAAAAAACTTTGTTGAGAAGTACATTACACCACTGAGCACTAACATTGTCACACTTTTCAGCTAGTCAAGCACTCTCAGGCATTGTATGCAAATGCATGATCTGGCATTGATTCAGGTCAAATTTAGATACAGTATGTGAGGAGAAGCACTCTTTCTCAGAGCTAGTCGTGCCAATGTCAGGAAATTAGTGCTTGAGGGACAGGAAACGCCTTTTAATGTGTATTTGAAAGCTGTAGGTGTGTCAACTGGTACTGCTTGTTTGTCAGACAGTATCAATTGTCATGATGACTAATTCTTCAGCTTTCTCGTGAGTAAACGCTCGAATGTGCAACTCCATGTCTGAGCCTCTCTAATTGTCTTGTTTGTAAGAAGACACCTATTGCTTGAACAGTGCCCTGATATTACTTGATGATACTGGAAATAAGGGTTGTCCCTGAGTGTAATTTCCAGTTAAAATAAAGCTTGAATTAATGAATATCTGCCCAACACCTCAAAACAATATGAAGTTCAAAATATGTATAAAACTACAGCCTAGAGGTTTTTTAAATACAAAGTTGTCATAGACAGAAATTTCACAGACACCTTTTTAAAGTAACTTTTACTGTAATTAAAGGTTCAGTTCAGGCCATCAAATTAATTGAGAAATTTTGCATAGAAACAATAAAGATTGTGCAATAAAGCAGAATGTGTAAAGTGAACAGTAAAATTCCTTCTGTTAATATATAACAAAGAATGCAAAAATAAACGTTTTAATAAAACTCAATCTCTTATGTCCAAGTACAGCACCCCCTTTAGTTAATATATAACAAAGCATGAGAAAAAATAAACTTTTAAAATAAAAATAAAACTTTTTTGTCCCAGTACAGCACCCCGTTTAGTTCCCTGTATTTTCTAGTAGTTCAAGTAGTTTTCTATAACGGTATTACCTACAGTTCATTGTGCTCTTGTTTGCTATTGGGGTTCTCATCATGCCCTCTAAAACAGAGGTCTTCAACATTTTTCAGGCCAAGGACCCCCAGACTGATGGAGAGATGGAGCAGGGACTCCCTACTATATATACTGTATATTAAATTGTGTTTTATATTACACTGGGCCCAGTACCATGTATAAACGTACCTTGTTATTGTGCATTCAGTACTAAGCTATTCAAATAATACACAGGTTCATATATTCATGTTATTATTTTAAACATGTGCAAGGTCCAGTGAGTACTGCCATTTATAAACATATCTTGTCAACTGATACCAATGCCAAAATCAACACTCTGTCAATTGCATGATAATCAAGATAATCTTTTTTTTTTTTTTTTTTTTAAATAAAAGTCAGGACATCACAAAAATAACAGCAACAACACAATCTTTAGGTCAGGGCTATTCAATTACAATTTCAACTGGGCCTGATTTTAAGACCAGATAATGTCGATGGGCCACGTTTTTAGCAGCGACTGATCCACTTTTTTTTTTTTTTAGCATATAAACAGACAGACAGACAGACAGACAGATAGATAGATAGATAGATAGATAGATATTCATGCATGGCCCTTCTCAACATAATGCAGAAACAGAATAAAAAAGAGTTATCAATGCACAGAAGCATAATAAGTGACATTAACAGTATCTATCACACACTCTCTCTACCAGCATCTTTCATTTTTGTTTGTCTTTAACAGTGTGCTGTTAGGCCCACAAGCGTGATCATAAATCATAATAGTGGTGAATGAGAGACTGTGGACAGAGCGGATTGAAATATGGCTTTCTACATGCTGATCACATGTATTGATAAAGTGTTGGCTTTTTATTGGCAGAGGTTTTGATTACTTACATTTACAGTAACAAGCGTAGCTGTTGTCAGCTGCAGCCTCTCTGCTGATGTCTGACTTCTTCATTCTGTTGTGTGTGTGTGTGTTGGGGTGGGGTGCCATTTCTGACTGAAAGATCACATCTTCTGCCTCCATTTATCCATTTGCTACAATATGTTGGATTAATGTTAATGTGAATTTAAAGACATTATAATTTGTGGGGGGAAAAAAATGGAAAAAAAAAAAAAATAGAAAAATATTTGTCTAATCAACCAAAAATGTCACGACCCCTCTGCAGTACCTCTGGGGGCCCCCTGTTGAAGACCTCTGCTCTAAAGGGAATCAGGCGTCAGTTTGAGCGCCCGTTTGTCATGTGGTCCTAGTGCTCGACGCGTCTCAGTTTATTAGCGTGTAACATTGTTTTAGGACGGTAAAAAGTGCAGGGGACATCTCCCAAATTACGTCCATGCTTGTCGACGATTTTAATGTCCCCTCGTGGTTTTAATGTATTTGTTATATTCTTATAAGATATCTTTACAACGTAGATCTTGTAGTATCTTCTAATGACACAGGCCAACATATTTGCATTCTTTTTTTCTTTCTGCAGTGTGAGCTTGTCAGCCAACTCCCATTCTGACAGTCAGGGTGAGGTAAGGACACTGCTCTTGCTTTTTTATAATCATGTATAGAGTTGTCTACATCTGAATAGCTTTAAAACGCTGTTTTATTTACTCTACTGCACCCAGTGTGATTCACTGTACCTAAATTTCTCCGACAAATACAAGTAGCCATTTCCTGCCAAAAGCTTTTGGCATAGAAATTATAACCAACAGGGCAGTGCTGAAATTTTGTACAAATGCTTTCCACAACAGCGGACACATCTTGTTATAAACCAGAATTTGAGATTAAGAGGACGTCATTATTTAGCTTTTACAAAAGTCTTTTAAACCATGAGCAGCCAGTGATTTCTTACCTTCTGAAGTCTGTGTATGCCTCATCAGACTGGATATCAGCTGCTGGCCATCTCTCTTGAAACATGGTGTGGTGGCATCTACATACTGGAAATGTTGCTGAGATGAATACTGCACTGCGCTTCAGAAGGTTTCTCTCCTGTGCCATCTTATACCCGAGTGATCGCCAACACCTCTTCCTGAAAGCTCAGCCCATCCCTGTTGCATCATTTCCTGTTACAGCCATTTGAAAGCAAGGTCAAGCTTTGTTTACACTCACAAGCAAGAACATGAAGGATCAAACATGCCTGCGCCCTCTTTCTTTTTTTACTATTTTTTTTTTTACTTAACTGAATACAAGGATTCAAACAGGCATCTGTATAACTTTATTTCATAACAATACACATACAATAATACAGCGTAAAAGAGTGTTGAAAGAGAAGAGATAACTAAAAACACAGTTCTTGGGAGTCAAGTAGCAAATAATTTTTACAATTAATGTCTTAAAAGATTTTAACATTTTGTTTTAAATGCTTAAACAACAAAGACAGATTTCATTTCATTAGAATGCCTCTGTTAATCCTGAAGGTAGTGCATCACTGTCGGCACATACACACCATCAAGTCTGTGCATATGGCAGGGATTCTGAACTTGCTTTGCAGAAAATGACAGGAGGTCAGAAGGCAGCCACAGCAGCTCTGCACAGGTCAGGTGTACACAGGGGTGTTTCTAGGATTTGAGGTCATTCAGGGCTTAGCCCAAACCTCTGTCAGGGGGTCCAAGGGATCCTCACTTGATCCTTTCTGTGATAAATAAGCTTGATTTTGATGCTTTTTATGCCCTCTGACATTGTCCATAATCTTATTTATATCAAAGTACAAGAAATAACTCCCAGTGTCAATCAGTTTATTCTCATTGTGAATTTGAAAATTGGTTGGGTGGCCACCTGGTATCATATCAGGGGCCAGATTTGGCCCACAGGCTGTACGTTGAGTATCACTGATGTAGGGCATCGAGTGCTGGAGGGGGCACCAAAACAGCTTATGATCATCAATCATAATCCTGAGGATGAACTTCTAAAATTTAAGATGAAGCACAAATACAAAAGATGCCATTAGACCATTTAAGGAAATATGATACACTACACTCGGAATAATAAAATGAATTATGCTTCAGTGTTACTTTATCTCTCTTTACTTTCCTGTCATTATTCTGTGGATTGCTTCAATACTGAAATGACATAATGTCTATCTCTCCTCCATTCAGTACAGGTGACAGTGGTTCAGGCGGGACAGTCAAAAAGTGACAAAGCAGCGTTCCGAATAAGCTATTAACAAGTAACTTACAAAAGCATTGTGTGCAATAGATAAGATAAGATAAGATAAGATAAGATAAGATAAGATAAGATAGACTTTATTGTCCCGAAGGAAATTTGTCTTGGATACATGCAGTATCTGCTGTTAAAAGACACAAAAAAGTTGACACATACAGTTCCTACATATATACAATCCACAAACAGAGCTGTCACTATTCACAATCTCACACACTCAGTATCTACAGTACATGTACAGACTACCATCAGCCAACAAATTGCACACTGCCCATTGCACACACACATCTGTTTTACAAAGTCATCATAAAAAAAAGTTACATAGTTACTTTAAAATGTATATACATATATATATACACACACATATACATATACATACACGTATAGTTAAGCTACAGTTAGCTTCCCATTTAAGGCTTTAATGGACAGGGGGACAAAAGAGTTCTTAAAGGGAAATTTCGGTTTATTTCAACCTGTCTCCTATCGTCCTAAATTTGTTTCAAGTGACTAGTAACATAAAAATAATAGTTAGCATGTTAGCCGTTAGCCTAGATACAGCCGGGGAGCATAGTAGCGTCAGACCTGTTAAAACATAAGTGAACGGGCAACCTTCAAGTGCAAAGTTAGTCCACTAAACAAGCTTTTTTTCCACAAAGACCGCCTCATATCGTTAGGATAAATGTCAGAGAACATATAGAAAACGACATGTAAACGTGTTGTCTTACCTTACCGGTGTGCTGCCATGTTTGTTTACCATTTAGCTCTGCTTTCCAAAGCGCGGCCGAAATATCGCGAGAACAAGCAGCGATCTCATACCGTGCCTGAAATCTCGCGAGAACAAGCAGCAACAGCTGGAAGGCAGAACCGGACAGTAGCCTGAAAAGTTCATTCATTTATTTTATGAAAGATTTATAGAATAATGGCTGACTTTTTGCCAGACTTCGACTTTGTGGAGGAGGAATTTGATTTTGCAGAGTTTGATGGCCGCCCTTATTTATTTGAGCCAGAATACACTGACGAAGAGCTTTGTGAAATTGAAGAACGGAGGAGGAGAGAGAGAGAGGCGCAACAGGTAGAGGACGAGAGAGGAGGAATGGCTGCTGCAAGGCTGCGTAGCTCTGGAGATTGGTGGTGTACCTGTGAATGCTGTGCCCCAGTGCCCACAGAAGAGGAATGCCTCTGTTGCAAGGAATGGGACCGGTTGCAGCCTTATTTTCAAGGTCTGGATGTGACCGAGGACGAGACACCTCCACCTGGAGTAGTATCCAGCTGGGCTTTATCTAGAGCTCGCCAGATATATTTCGGCCGCGCTTTGGAAAGCAGAGCTAGATGGTAAACAAACATGGCAGCACACCGGTAAGGTAAGACAACACGTTTACATGTCATTTTCTATATGTTCTCTGACATTTATCCTAACGATATGAGGCGGTCTTTGTGGAAAAAAAGCTTGTTTAGTGGACTAACTTTGCACTTGAAGGTTGCCCATTCACTTATGTTTTAACAGGTCTGACGCTACTATGCACCCCGGCTGTATCTAGGCTAACGGCTAACACGCTAACTATTATTTCTATGTCACTAGTCACTTGAAACAAATTTAGGACGATAGGAGACAGGTTGAAATAAACCAAAATTTCCCTTTAAAGCGGTTTAGCCTGCACTGGGGAACTCTAAAGCGTCTGCCTGAGGGGAGAAGTTGGTACTCATGATGGAGGACATGGGTGGGGTCTGAGATAATTTTCTGCGCCTGTCTGATTATGGTTTGCTCAAAGATAGACTGGAGCGTGGCATGCTGCCTGACTCCTATGATCTTCATGGCTCTCTGGATAAGCCTGGTAATCTGGGCCTTCAGTTGTACGCTCAGTGAGGTTGCCAAACCAGGCTGATATGTCTGTCCATGTTCAACCTTATTTTCCTCTCAGTCTGTTTCTCTCTCTTTCTTAAACACCTGGTCTCTGTCTCTGTCACTGTGTCAGTGATATGCCACGGATGCCAAAGTCAATCTATGATAGGGCAAACTAGTTTAGATATTAGTTTAATAATTACCTTCTACCACTGCTGCTACTATTAGGTCTATTTCTTATGATGATAATACATTAATATCCTACCTTAATGGGAAAATAGCCCAATAATCATCTTGAATATGCCAAAGGCATCGACTATATAAATGATTGGCATAACTCTTTGAGTCTGACTTTGAAGAGAGCATGGATAAGTTTCACGTTTAGTTTAGTTTTGAAAAATAGGGTTCTAGTTAATCTTCATGTGTTTGGGAAGTACAGTGCACATGACATGATATACAAGACCTGGGTTATATTGCATGAGTTTGTTTCACAAGATTCTGGAAACAGATATTTTTATATAGTTTTGCTGCTGTTAAACAGGGACCCCCAATCAATCAATAAATCAATATGTTTGCCATTTTCTGTGAAGGCATGCAAGAAAAACAAAGGTATCCACGGGACGCCCTTTACACGCAATAGCCTGTCAAAAAATGCCTCCATCTTAGATAACCCTTCAGGAAAGTTTTCAATCATTTAGATCTCAAATTGATCAATTTTGTTCAAAAAGTTTTGTTTACACCTCTTAATTTGGTCATCAGTTTGATTTCACCCGTTAGCTTAAATAGTGCATTTTATCTTATTCACTCCTAGCCTACAGAACATAACAGCTATAAGGGTCCACCTATCTCTTCTCCTGGAAGGCCCGGGGAAGGGTCCCTATGCACTATGAGGTGTGTTGGTCTACATCAGTGTGCTGGCGTGGGGTGAGATGCACTGCAGCTTATCCCTTGGAGGCCCTACAGTGATCTTATGAAGACAAAACCCCTTTCTCTGGTGTTTGTGGTCTTCTCACCAGAAATAAAGGTTCAGAGAGAAATGTCTCAAGTTGTTACTCTTAATTCCCTCAATACAGGCTTTTCCTTCAGATTCAAATAATGTGGGAAAACGTAAAACTATTTAAAACAAAGAAAAATCATTAAAATCCAAGATTGTAAAAATGACAGAAACAGTATAAAAACGGATGAACTGGTCTGGATAGGTTTTATAAGCCCTTGAATTAGGCAGAGCTGATTTTAAATTTGGATTTGTTGAAATGTATCACCTAAATTTGGATCTCTTTATTTTTCAAAGGAGAGCAGTCTATAAACCGGCTGACATGAACCGCTTTGGCTCCCTGTTCACGGCCCTGCAAGAGAGTCGGGGACCTTGGGAGTGCAAATGTCTCTGGGTCTTCCGCTCTTCAAGCTTAGGCCTGCTTTACAGAAACCACTCACAGTTAACTTTCAGTGGCTATGAGTTTCACAGAGGAAGCTAAAAGTTTCTATATGATAATCCGTTTCCTGACTGAGACAAAGCAGGAAAATATGGTTCAGAGAGACAAGGGCCCCCGCAGGCCTCTGAAAGAAAAATTGTCTCTTTTTATATCCTTCCAAGCCCAGTTCATGATGAGACAACGGACATTTTTTCAAAATATTTAAAACACAGTTTGCTGTTTGACAGTATCTGACCATCAACCCCATGCGGGGGGTTTGGCTCATGTCACAACCAGTGAGTATAACCACAGTACATCACACACACACACGCAGACACACATACATCCCACAAAACAACCATTAAACTAAAACATGGTGATATAAAGATCATACAGTATCAGCTTTATGATTTAGGGAAGATGTGGCTCTATGTAACATAAAATACAAGCATTTAAAAAGCCACTTTCTTTGTCCATGTTTCCTCCTGATGTTGTAACAGCCTAACTTCCTCTGATACACAGTGCAACTATGAGTGCAGTGCAAGCACCCTGTTAATGCTTGAGACGTTGTGGCTTTTTGTTTTTGGTATTTTTTGGTTTTGTTGTGTGTGTGTGTGTGTGTGTGTGTGTGTGTGTGTACACAAATGGTGAAAACGGTGAGATGTTAACTGCATCTATACACAATTAGATAACACAGAAACTGAAAAGATAAAAACAGAAAGAAAGAGAAGAAGACAGTACAGTGTGTGTGTTATGTAATAAGTGCCTCAAATGTAATTAAAAGGAATAGAGAATTAAACAAAGGTAGTCAGACTTTAATCAGGCGACCTGACAGCATTTACTTACATTAGTTTAGTTCACATTACATCAGCATTTTCAAGACTATTTGGAAAGATCCCAAACCATCTGGAAAAAACCTACCGTCATCTTATTCCGTTTTTTCATTCAGGAAACAACAAAATGGTGAAATCCAGCCGCCATGTGGACAGCAGTGGGAGAGACTCCTGAGAGCTTTTGGTGCTCAAGAACATCACAAGTCTGACGACAAGTTCAAATCAGTGTCTTTTGTCATTGTCATCCACTAAGAAGAAATTTGAGCCTCTTCTAATGTCCAGCTGCCACTTCAAATACGGTCATTTACAGCATGGCATGTCTATTTTCATATTCATCTGGAAACGGAAACGTTTTTGTTCTTTCCCTTTCTTGGGTTTACGTCTGTAATGAGACGATGAGTCTGACTTCTCTGAGTCCTCTGTGTCCTCCTCATCATCACAAGATGTGCGATGGAGCTTCTCTTGATCTGTATAAATAATTAAATGAGGTCACAGATGAAACGATTAATGATTAGAATTCTATAAAGTCCAACAGTAAAGTTACACCGAGCGAAACAGAATCAGACTGGATCAATCTGAAGGCTTCACTGCGGTGAATGTATGCTGCACTTCTGACATATACACATGTAAACATACAGTATGTGTGTGTGTGTAGAGAGTCGGAGGTACCTCAGTTTTCTTACCTGTGTTTCTGACCAGTCGAGAAGCGAGTTCACACTGATGTATGGTTTGAAGAATATCTCGTGTGATACGTAAAGCCTCCTCATGTCCGTAGTGGTTGGTCACTAATGTGGCGATGTCCATGCTGTCCTTACCTTCCAGTTTACCCTTAGGAATGGGTTTACGCTTCGAGGCGGTGTAAAGCTGTAGCGTGAAATTAAAAGACTTGCGATCCTCTGTAGAAAGTTCATCCAGGGTGTTTCTGATCAGCGGGGCAGGATTCTGCATGAGAAATTAGAAATTAGAAAATAAAACATCAAATCTTAACCTGGATTGAACAAAGTGCTGCAGTGGGACCTCTCATTTTTATCTGTATTTAATTTGACCTGCAGTGCAGATGATTCTGAAGTTTTACCTCCATAGTTTCTTTACTCTTTGTCGCCAGTGACGACGGCTTTGCCTTCTTGCTTTCTTGCTTATTTTTGTCCCTAAGGGGCCATCTGAAGGGGCGACTGACGGGCTGCAGCGCTGACTCCTCATTTTTTAGTCGAAGTAGCTGTTTCATGATCTTGCCAGCGGGACCCTTTTTCAGCTCCATATCCACAAAATCCTGCTCGCTGAAACAAACAAGGCAATCTCCGGACACATCCTCCTCTTGGAACCTCTCTGCCTTTTTGCCATCGACCTTCACACGCTGCAGTAACCACTGGGTCACTTGCTCCTTTGTCCAGTTTTCCACATCAGCTAGGAACTGTGACTCATGTTGTGTTCCTTCTTTAAGACTTTTTAGATAGGATGTGATTTTGACAGCAGGGCCATGTTTTATTCCTAAATTTAAAATATTTTCCTTCTCGTAGTCAACCAGTTCTTCTCCAGACACTTCCTCCTTAATGAATATGTCTGCGCAACTCTGATGAACTTTGACCTCTGTCATTAGCCAGTGGTGGATGTCCTCTTTGGACCACGTTTCAATCTCAGGTGTTGACTCATTCGTGGACTGGCTCATTTTGGATCAGCTAAAAATGAAACAAAGAAACAGAAGAAGAGCATGAACACACACATCGCACAACATGGCAAATATATGCAAGATGTCCCAAGGATCAGATGTGGCTATCCAGATAATATGTCAAGACACTGATCAAGTTAACACCAGGTGGAGATCGTTGCCTTGTATTTGAACGTGCACTGTGCACCAATTATTAGCACAAATTCAGTGAAGTACAACAAATCAGTCAAATCACAACTGTTGTTTTGCAAGGACCCAAACTGTTCTCACCCCAACTCATCACATATCGTCACTTGGTCAGTGGCACTCACGTCTACATATTTTGTGCTCGGTATCCTCCTGCACTTATTGTTGATGTTCCAGGATAGCATGTCAATTTTCGCTGTGTAACAAAACATGGTTAGGTTTAGGAAAAAAACATCATGGTTTGGCTTTATATTCATACAGGAAGCGAACAGCGGCCTCGCATGTGAAAGTCCAGGGTTTGTTGGACCCCTCCACTGCCCTTCCCGCCCCCCCCACAGGGTGTTTGCAGCTTCTTATATTATGTCATTAGCAGCAGTGTTTCAAACTGACAAACAACCAGTGGCGTATCATATCGTCTAGCTATTTAATTGACGCCTCCTGTCTACGTGTCATGGTGCGGCGACAGGTGCCGTCCGGCTGTGTTACAAAATGTCACACTGACATGAAAGGTGGCTTTTGGCGTTGGTGTCTGACGCCAAAATCACTGACCAAGCGGCGTTATTTGACGACTTCAGCATGAGAACGACCTAGAAGTCCTTGTGGGGAATCGATGGTCTTGAGCGAACTATGTTGCATTCATGTGGTCTTGAATTAATTGGAAAAATTAGTTCTCTACTTGGAGAATTTTCCTGAAAGCCCCACGTCAGAACAACAACTCGGAAAGTCAGCGAAAATTCTGGTACATGAGCTAACAGTTTTGACGTCATATACACAGAAACATACAGAAACTTTTATTAAGTCACATATTTCAATTGTTGGTCACATATAATTTGCAATACAGTATGAGGTTTCAAAACAGTTTGTTGGTGTCCATAGAGTGGCCTAGATTAGTTAATACATTTATTAGCATTAACCCTCATAACAAGACAGGTACATAAATATTTTAGTGATTTTGCAACAGGTAGCAACGTGGTGTAAAACTAAAAATAATCACTGACTCCTGTTTTAAAGTCTTGAGTCTGGCACTTATGCTGTTGCCATCTTGGTTTTTTGGAGCTAGCCATGACCATATTTGTGCGGCTGCTAACTACAGTGGCCGACGTGACAATGTGAATGTCCCTATCTATAGTCAGTGTTTGGTTTGTCTGTTCTGGGCTACTGTAGCAACATGGTGGTGCAACATGGCGTTCTCAGACAAGGACTGGCTCTCTATGTAGATATAAACAGCTCATCTTAAAGGCCCAGACACAATAAACCGACGTCAAAGAGCTAGCAGTAACGGAAGCCAACCGTTCTGTCGCCTCATGTCACCTGTATCCTGGCTAGAAAGTTGCACGTGAACGTCAGCACGTATGTTCTGCACCTGCATGAGAGGAAATAAATCTCACCATTAGCAGACAACAGTCGTTTTTAACCGTTGTTCAAAAAGGGAAACAGGAAGACTGTCTTAACGGGTCCATGTCTTTGGTTCGACATCCCATTAGTCCGACTGTCCGCGGTGCTGAACGGCTCGCGGTGGGCGTATGGTGCACCGCGACCAGCTTGAGGCGGAGCAGGCTCACGGCTTATGTTTTTGTCACTTTCTTTTTCATTTTAACCCACACCATGATCTTTTCCTGACCCTAACCAAGTGGTTTTTGTGCCTAAACCTAACCAGACCTTAACCACAGGGCATCATGATGATTTCGGAACGGACTTCGGAACAATGGGTTTAATATGGTCGGAACAATGGGATGTCGGACCAATGGGCTGTCGAACTAATGGGCAGTTCCCGTCTTAACACTAGTTAGCCAGTTAGCACATTAACAACACAATCCATTGTTGAATTTGCTGTGCGCCAGTGAACAATGACACAAACCATCAGGAAACGCTTCTGCTATAGAGAAAAATAATCTGACCTTATGGAACAAGTTTCTTTCAGTCTCACTTCCTCTTGATTTTTGTTTACTTTCCTCTCTTCTCATGTGCTGAGCAGAAATGACACTCAGAGCGATTTAATTCACCCACAGGCTCCACACCGCACACCGCAAAGACTTGGGTGATGGATTGTCACCAATGGCCCGACAATAATGGACAGCCACCTGTTTGCTTGGTGTGTCAGAGCCAAACAAAAACACAACAATTCTTATTTTCAGGTGATAATACACAAAAGAAAACACACTTATTATATTATATTCCATTTCTGCAGATATATCCCCTGAATCCTACAGACTGACCTTTTAATGCAGCATTAGTTCACCTTTTAGTCATCCTCCTTGGTGGACTTATCAAGTTTTTTCTTACATCACTAACTCTGTATTTTTGATTTGCCCTACCAACAGGTACTCTACATCTATGACAGCCAATGTGAATGAGGTATTGTCATGACAGTACAGTAAGTAAGTTTGTACAGACATTCATGTTCCCCAGAGGATGAATCCTGCTGATCCTCGATTACTTTTCCTCTGCCGTCACCAGCTGGCTGACATTTTTGTTTTTGAGTAAAATGTCTCAGCAGTTATTGTGTAACTAAGCATTAGTTAGCAAATGTTAGCATGCTTAAAGGCTACGCTAGGAGGATGAACATTGTCAACATGATATAAAATCAGTATGTTAGCAGTCTCACTGTGAGCGTGTTAGCATCCTGTTAGCTGTAGCATTTAGCTCAAAGCTCTGTTAGTCTGTTGTTCATTCTTCACACAGCTACTGTCACTTTAATGTGTGTGTGTGCAGTTTCATCCTACCTTGCAGTGTGGCCGTCAGTGCAGATAAAAACACTCTGAACAGACTTGCTCAGTTGAAGACACACTCCTGCCTGACGACGCCTCCAGATCCTCAGGAGACAGAATCACTTCCCTTTTCTGGAAATTCCTTTTCTTCACAACACAGGAAATGTTGTTAGAAGGAACAGAAAATGTTAATCAGTGGTAATCAAAAGCTTAATTACAACATTGAATCACAGCATAGTACAGCTACGCAACTTCAAGAGGGAACTCGGCGTAGAGCTGCTCCTAAAGGGGCCAGTTGAGGCGCCCAGTGGCTCAGTGAGTAGAGCGGGCATCCCATGTACAAGGGCGATGTCCTTGCCGCAGCAGCCACGGGTTCAGGTCCAACCTGGGGCCCTTTGCTGCATGTCACCATCCCCTCTCTCTCCCCCTTTCACACCGTCCTGTCAAACAAAAGCAAAAGCTGAAAAAATAATCTTTAAAAAATTAAATAAAATAAGAAAAGAGGAGGGCCAGTTTAGGTGGTTCAGGCGCCTGATCAGGATCCTCCTCAACACCTCCCATCAGAGGTGTTCGGGGCACGTCCCACTGGTAGGAGGCCCCGGGGCAGACCCAGAACAAGTTGGAGGAATTATGTATCTCATCTGGCCTGGGAACACCTCCAGGAGGGGTGGAAAGCGTCGCTGAGGAGAGGGGCGTCTGGAAGACTTTCCTCAGCCTGCTGCCCCCGTGACCCGGCCCCGGATAAGAGGATGGAAATGGATGGATGCAGGGGCGTAAATATTGATAGTGCAGGCTGTGCAGTTGCGCTGGGGCCTGTGAGGTGGGGGGCCCATAGAGAGAGTGGGCCCTCCAACAATGTTTTGGGCGGAGAATGGGTCATTTTGTGTGACTGCTACCTTAGAAATATGCCTTTGTTCAAAGAAGAACCCTCATTAGATTCTAAAGGTGCCACTGGTTATATATGCCCTTAAAGAAAGCAAATCCATCTGTGTCATGTTTATTGTTTATAATAAAATTGTGCTTCGTCCATATAAACTGTAAAAAAAAAAAAAAAAACTATAAAGGATTAAATTAAATAAATAATTTTGTATTTTCTTTGGTGTTTTTGTCATATACAGATGCAGTGATGATTGCTGGGTAATATATAGGTACAGTAGATGAGTCTCTGTTTAATCATGTGAAAAGACGATATGTGCACAACAGTGTGCACTAGGGCCTGTTGTAACCATCTTACACCACTGGATGAGTGAGTGAGGACAAAAGCAGTAAGGCAAGTTCATTTATTCAGCAGTTTTACAAGAAATTAAAATGCAAATTAGAATTAAATTAAATTAAATTAGGTTGAATCTACATACTTATAATATAACATTACAGTAACACTTACAGTGTGAATAATGTCATACACTCCTCAGATTAAATTAAAAGTTATGGAGAATCCATTTCAATCTGGTTTTAAAGCTGGTGAGACTTTAACCTTTAACAGTTAACGCACTGATGACCTCACAGCCTTCACTACCAATAGTTTAGTTTACATGACATCAGTGTCACAGAGATCTCAGTCATCACCGAAACCCCAAACAAGCAAGAAAAATATCTCATGTTGTCTTCTTCCTCCTTTTTTAGTCAGCTAACAACAAAATGGTGAAATACTGCCCCCATGTGGACAGCAGTGGGACAGACTCCTGAGAGATTTTGATGCATGATAACATCACAAGTCTGAGGACAAGTTTAAATCAATGCTCTTCAGCATTTTCATTGAAAATCAGTTAATATGAATCTTAAGGCACTTGTCCAGCTGTCATGCATTAAGGCAAGTTTATTCAGACATTCATCTTGAAACCATTTTTTCTTCCTTTTTCTTGTGTTCACATCTGGAGCAGGACGATGAGTCTGACTTCACTGTGTCCTCCTCACCATCACAAGATGTTTATGTATTATATGATGTTTGTTTAGAACATAATCGGCTTTTGTGTTCAAGAAATTAGCATCATTTATTAAAACGTAGCATCAATAAATCAGGTCAGGGTCAGGTGTGGTGACTGTTACATGTGTTACATTTGTTAATAGCAGCCATGGAGGGAGGAGTTGGCACAATTACATCACAGCAGCAACCAGTGTGGTGGGACAGTGTGGACCAGATCACTGTACTGAAGAAAAGACAAAACGTGACATGCTATACCATGACTTCTTTTCAACACGCTATACTATTACATTTTTTAACAATTTTTGTTGACGTACTATCCAATGACTTTTTTAACATTTCTTTATGACTTCATCTACAATGACTTTTGTTTCAACATACTATACTATAAATGTTATACTACTTGAATTATACTATAAATATTTTTTAGACAAACTATACAATGACTTTGTTTCCGACACACTATTCTATGATGAAACCATTTTCTTTTTTAAGAGACTACACTATATGCTCTGATGAAGGTCTTCTACACTGAAAGCTTAAAGTGAAGTATTGCAGAGATGTGCG